AGACTTGCATTTAGAAACACTGCAGCAAAGAAAAATGCAGTTACTTATTTTAAGGAGAAAATCTGATTGGTTTCCACTACATTTTAGCTCCAGTGTTTCTCTGCTTCAAACTTTTCCTAATCCATATTTTTAATAAGGATTTATACAAAAAATATTATAATTTTGGAATCTTACCACTGATAAAATAATGTTTAAATTGAGAGATTAAAAAAAAGCAAAGCAATAAGCCATTCACAGCAGGTCACATGACAGTTGTATACAATGGATGGCTTCATTCATGCCATCCATTGTATACTAGTGTGTCTAGTTGTGAATGGTCAGCGATCACATGCACAAGCTGGGCCAATCACAGCCCAGCTGTGCCATGTGATTAGCCGTGGCCAAATCACAGCTAAGCACAAAAAAAAAAACCCTGAATGAATCAATGTCATTTAGGTAAATGCTTGCTTATAGCAAAGTAATTCTTTGCTATAAGCAAATTGTGTAAAAAAAAAAAAAAAAATACTGATCACTTTCCCAAAGTAGTACAATGTTACTATGGTAACATTGTACTACTTTGTCATAGTGAAATATGAAAAAAAAAAAGCTTAAAAAAAAAAAAAAATTTAATAAAAAGTAAAAAAAAATAAAAAAAAATTATAAAATACTGTCACCAGTCAGTGTCCCTGATCACTGCCATGCCAGTTACATGATGATGCTGTACTGCACTGGTGACAGTATGTAAAAAAAAAAAAATAGTGAAAATAATTTTTTTAATTTTTTAATTTTCCGAAAAATTATGACAAAAAAAATACAACTTCAAAAAACTCGCCATGCCTCTTATGAAGTACGTCGGACTGTCTACTCTGCAAAAAGGGGTCATTTGGAGAATATCTGTACTGTTCTGACATTCATGGACCTCAAGAAATTAGATTGGCTGTCAGTACTTCAGGATTGATCAATATTCAGATATATCCCATAGTTTGTGAACTCTATAACTTTCCTACAAACTAAAAAAATACATCCTAATTTGGGTTATTTTCACCAAAGACATGTAGTAGAATACATCTTGGTCTAAATTTATGAAGAACAATTATTTATTTGTAAACTTTTAAACAGAAACAAAGAAAAACGTGTTATTTTTTCAAAAGTTTCAGTCTTTTTTTGTTAACTTAGCAAAAAAAACCTCAGTGGTGATTAAATACCACCAAAAGAAAGCTCTAGTTGTGTGAAGAAAATGATAAAATTTTAGTTTGGGTACAGTGTTGTATGACCGCGCAATTGTCATTCAAAGTGTGAGAGCGCTGAAACCTGAAAATTGGCCTGGGCAGGAAGGGGGTAAAAGTGCCCTGTATGGAAGAGGTTAAAGTTGTCTACTGCACTTAGAGGTGCTTCTTCTTCTCTCCTTACTACACAGAGTCTGCTACAGTACTGCATGGAGCTTGCCGTAAGTGCCACACGGACCCCCCTTATCCAAGTCACCCGGACTATTTCTAAATACTACTAGACGTTTTCGAACTTTGGCCCAGTATTTGTGCTGATTATCATTACTTTTTGTTCATATAGATACTGTATAGCAGGAGTCTCCAAACTGCAGCCCGAGGGCTGGATATGGCCCTTTGCTACATCCGACCCTTGGGGCACTATTCCTCCCACTGAAACCAACAATGGGGAAGCACTTCTTCCACTGAAACCAATGATGGTGTACTATTCTTCCCACAAATACCAATGTGGCCCTGAGGCCATGTTTATTCTCACTGATGCTGGGGCCAGGACACATTTTCTATCCTCACTGACCGTAATCTCGCCCTCCTAAAGTCTGAAGGACCGTATACTGGCCCTTTGTTTGAAAAGTTTGGAGACCCCCTACTGTATAGTGATGTGCTCACATAACCATTGCTATTGCTAAGACAATTTCTCTGAGAGTACTACATCTTAGAGTAAATTATGGTGTCACAAACTTTATGTTTATTAAAGAAAATCAAATATTTTTTTTATTTAACCATTTCATAACATAATTTTCAAAGCTAAAAGTTAGTTAACTGAAATGCATAATTTTGCATTAAATAGTTATGCAGTTACATTCACACAATGTTTGCTTGCATATTTTAATATAAGAATATTTATACAAATCAAAGCAGAAAATAACAGATCAGTATAATACTAATATTAAGCAATATGCTCAACTCATACTTAAAACTACGCATATGTATACATTGTACAAAAAAAATATATATATATATTCTCAGCATATAGCTTATAAAGATGATTATTGATACATGATAGATGATGAGTACAGCCTGGCCTAATGTGGTTTTAAGTATTAAAACTATCAATAAAAATAGGCAAATTGGAGCTTTTTCAAATCTGAATAAGAGTCATGTGTTTCCAAATAGTCAAAAACAACTTGTATTCATATTAATAATGCACAAAGATGGATAAATGTATTTCATATGTGGCTAACTACTTAGCGTTCATGCCTTGTAGTGTTTGGGTCCTATGTGTTAAAAGAATCTGAATGGTCTCCCCACGTTTGCTTGTGTTATATCCCACAATCTGAAAAACGCCTTTTTGAAAGTTAAATTTGCACTCCAGATGAAACTGAAAATCTAGGTTTAAAAAGCGTACAACTAGCATAGCCAATCTGCTTTGTATTGTTTTATCCGGGCATTGCTGTGGCACAGTAGTCTACCAGCATCCCTATTGTGGGGAATTTGAGAACCCCTTTTGTGAAGTGCTAAAGGTATTTACAAACACACCCACTGCAGCTTCCTTGCTGGTTAACTCTAATATTTCAAAGTGACAGCTCTGGACTCTTACAGCTGCTAATCACATTCAAACTTTCAAGGCAGGAAGAGGGAAAAAAGCAAAGGATTTATCCCCTTCCCAAAAAGCTTAAGGAAATAACTTCTTTCACTTGTTGCCTGTAATTGTTCTATAAAGTGTATGTAAACGTAAACAGTGAACTTCTCCTGTTTGTATCCTTTTACTCTATTAAACATACCATTAAAAGCATTTTGTTATATCTGTTCAATAAGTGCAAAAAAATGCCTGTTGATCTTCAGAGCTGTCCTGTGCTCAAGTTCTGTATTATCTCAAGGAATATTCTTATCTCAGTAATACAAAACAATTAGCCTTTATGTTTTGGAGAATAGGATAAGGAAAGGTTTGAGTAGTTTAGCAAAAGACAACTGGACAGGGCTGACACCACTCAGTCCACAATAAAATTGTTGTCACCCCATAACAAAGCAACAGGTTTTCTTCTACAATTGCAGCATCTTTAAAGCGATGAAGATGGTAACATGGGGACATTTTCATGTATTGCAGAGATGTATTGCATATCTTTTGCCCAGACATACAGTTTCATTAGCTTCTTTTCAATTTAGTGACATTGTGTGTGATATAGGTAGGAACATAGGATATCGATCTTCTCTCTGGACAGGTTATGTTGTCAACAGATCAATGTTTTCTGCAGAAGAACACAAAGTGTTGGAGCAATGTGCAAATTAAACTACCTTATGTGTCAATTGTGGGCACCATCCAATTCCTGGAGACTGTAATTCATAAATTCATCATAGTTCTGCTGTGTTTTTTTCATAATGTATATTTATATATATACTCGAACAGTTAAAAAAAAGATCAAAATATCCAAATGTATAGACAAAAAAATAAAGCTCTGGAAACACATGAGACGTAAGAATAATATACGTCATACATGTTGACACAAATACAGCAGTGGTCACAAATAAGGCAGGCTCGATGAACACACCTAAAATTTCTCAGCAGACTAATGCGGCTCATATATAGGACTATATTCATGAATCCAAATACTATATCAGAAAAAGGTACAGAGGAAGGGGATGATAAAGGGACACACACATGGAGTACATGAATAAAACAGGTATAAAAGAGCAGCAAATTGTAAAGGAAGAGAGGTAGCTGTCTAGAGGTTTGAGGTGACAATTTTAGTCCAAACTCAGAGCTATCCCACAAATCCCAGATTTAAAAAAAAATTGAGGTAAAGAATCAGCTGGTACAGTAGTAAGATATTCCATTCCACGTACAGTATCTCACAGAAGTGAGTACACTCCTCACATTTTTGTAAATATTTTATTCTATCTTTTCATGTGACAACACTGAAGAAATGACACTTTTCTACAATGTAAAATAGTGAGTGTACAGCTTGTGTAACAGTGTAAATTTGCTGTCCCCTCAAAATAACTCAACACACAGCCATTAAATGTCTAAACCGCTGGTCACAAAAGTGAGTACACCCCTAAGTGAAAATGTCCAAATTGGGCTTAAAGTGTCAATATTTTGTTTGGTCACCATTATTTTCTAGCACTGCATTAACCTTCTTGGGCATGGAGTTCACCAGAGCTGCACAGGTTTCAACTGGAGTCCTCTTCCACTCCTCCGTGACGACATCACGGAGCTGTTGAATGTTAGAGACCTTGCGCTCCTCCACCTTCCGTTTGAGGATGCCCCACAGATGCTCAATAGGGTTTAGGTCTGGAGACATGCTTGGCCAGTCCATCACTTTTACCCTCAGCTTCTTTAGCAAGGCAGTGGTCGTCTTGGAGGTGTGTTTGGGGTCGTTATCATGTTGGAATACTGCCCTGCAGCCCAGTCTCTGAAGGGAGGGGATCATGCTCTGCTTCCGTATGTCACAGTACATATTGGCATTCTTGGTTCCCTCAATGAACTGTAGCTTACAAGTTCTGGCAGCACTTATGCAGCCCCAGACCATGAGACTCCCACCACCATGCTTGACTGTAGGCAAGACACACTTGTCTTTGTACTCCTCACCTGGTTGATGTCAAACACTTGACACTATCTGAACTAAATACGTTTATCTTGGTCTCATCAGACCACAGGACATGGTTCCAGTAATCCATGTCCTTAGTCTGCTTGTCTTCAGCAAACTGTTTGCGGGCTTTCTTGTGCATCATCTTTAGAAGAGGCTTCCTTCTGGGACGACAGCCATGCAGATCAGTTTGATACAGTGTGCATCGTATGATCTGAGCACTGACAGGCTGACCCCCCACCCCTTTAACCTCTGCAGCAATGCTGGAAGCACTCTATTTCCCAAAGATAACCTCTGGATATGATGCTGAGCACTTGCATTCAACTTCTTTGGTCGACCATGGCAAGGCCTGTTTTGAGTGGAAAGTATGAACAGGAGCCAGGCGCTGTGTAGTTTTGTGATAAAAGTAATACACCTTATATGGAGGTGTGCCTTTAATAATTCATATGGTAAAAAATAAATAACCAGCCTGTGGCTTTAAGAGGCCAGGTTCCAAGATGGACAGCCCGTCCGCTCAGAGGGAAGCAGTGGAGTAGAATACCTGTCAGTGCAGGGACCACGTGTACCCGACTTCCCAGCGTCCTGGATGACGTCACCACGATGTGGAGGGGGGAACTCTTGCTGGAGCCGCAGCTTTAGAAGGAAGAGGACAACATGTTTTGCGCACATGCGCTTTATCAAGTTTTGAGACATGAAACATGTTGTCCCGGCAACCGGCCTCTTCCTTCTAAAGCTGCGGCTCCAGCAAGAGTTCCCCCCTCCGCTGCAGCTCAGTTTCAGGGTCTTGACAATCGTATTATAACCTAGGCCATTTTTATGTAGAGTAACAATTATTTTTTTCAGATCCCCAGAGAGTTCTTTGCCATGAGGTGCCATGTTGAACTTCCAGTGACCAGTATGAGAGAGTGAGAGCGATAACACCAAATTTAGCACACCTGCTTCCCATTCATACCTGAGACCTAGTAACACTAGCGAGCCACATGACACCAGGGAGGGAAAATGGCTAATTGGGCCAAATTTGGACTTTTTCACTTCGGGGTGTACTCACTTTTGTTGCCAGCAGTTTAGACATTAATGGCTGTGTGTTGAGTTATTTTGAGGAGACAGAAAATTTACACTGTTATACAAGCTGTACACTCACTACTTTACATTGTAGCAAAGTGTAATTTCTTCAGTGTTGTCACATGAAAAGATATAATAAAATATTTACAAAAATGTGATGGGTTTATTCACTTCTGTGAGATACTGTATATCAGCTGTAACCTGCAATAATTGTGAGTGTGTAGGGGGCAGAAAATAGCCAGCCTAAAAGTATAACCTTTTTAGCAGCTAGCAAGGCAAATGCAACCAGTTTCTTAGCATGTTTGGAGATGACAGGATTAGGTGTGCCCAATAAATAGTGAATTGGATCTAGGGGTAAACAGTCCCAAGAAGATGTTAAAGGAGGGACTGGACCAACACCCAAAAGGGTCAGATACTCCCAATATGTATGATAATGGGTTCCTACATCACAGTGACATCTCCAACAGCTGTGAGAGGGAAGGGTTGCAGTGATGAAGAACTTCCAGAGTTCTGTACCAAAAATATAAAAGTTTGTAAGCAGTCACTCTTTGCACCACACATCTCAAAGTTTTAGAAATAGAGAGTCCCATATTTTCTCCCATTGCTGAAGAGAAAGGGAGCATTGGAGGATATGTGCCCACTTATGCTTGTTCAGTAAGTGCAGTAGATTCTTGAAGAATTTTGTATATAGATGATATGCCATGTGGTAGGTATGGTCCCATAAAAGTTTAAATGGGGTAGGTTTGTCTAAGGTGTCTAAGGAGGGGGGGGGGACAAATAATTTTTTAGGGACCTGAAATTTGCTTTGAATGTAATCAAAAGAGTACATTTTACGAGACATAGGGTGTACCAAGTGGTGGAGCTGGAAAACTCCAGCATGCAACCTGGATGCAGATGACTATATGATAAACTATACAGAATGTCTGGGTTAAAAAGCACATTGAGCAGAGGCTGGCATGGAAAAGAGAGAGTACTTCTTGAGACACTTTTTCCAAAAATGGAAACAACAACAACATCGGAGCTGAGCATAGACCCTTTAGCTGAGCAATAGATGTACTGAGATTTAACCATATTATAGAATAAGAGTCTGCAGAGCAGGTAATTCCCATTTTGACTTCTGACCATCTATTAGAGGCATATCAAGAGGACCATGAAGTAATCACCCTGAGATGTGTGGCATAATAATATGTTATTATATCTGGAGCCCCTAAAGCTCCACAGGATCTTAAAGCAAAGACTACAGAACTAGCAGTGCAATGCAATTTGTTATGCCAAATAAAGTTAAGGAAGGATCTCTGGAGGGATTCAAGTTGCATCATCATGATAGGGACCAGCAGAGTTTGGAAGAGGTACAAAAGTTTCAGAAGTATGGACATCTTAAGAACATTAATCCTCCCTAAGAGAGAGAGAGAGGGAGAGAGAGAGAGATTATCCCACAGTTTCATGAGGTTATTAATTTCCTGAAACACAGGGGAATAGTTTGCTTAAAAAGGGTAGAGCAGGAAGAATCATATGTATGCCTAAATATATAAGGGTGTAAGAGCACCATCGGTAGGGGAAGTTCTGCTGCAGGGTGACGAGTAAACAGGAGTGGTGGTATGTGGAGAGGTAGGGCCTCTGTTTTGGTTGTATTGATCCTATAACCTGAGTGTGATCCAAAGGACACCAATAGATCATGAAGGTTAGGGAGGAAGATATGTGGATTAGTCAGTGTCTGAAGAATGTCATCAGTGAAGACAGATAGTTTGTATTCCCTATGTTGCAGGTCACACCCTACGAAAATCAGAGTGAAGGCATATGGCTTCCGCAAGGGGTTCCAAACACAATATAAAGAGCAAAGGGAATAGGAGACAGCCTTGCTTAGTGCTATTGCTCAGTGGGAATGAGTGTGACAAGAAGGAAGGCAGCTGTACCTGAGAAGAAGGTAGGGAATACACAGCGTGGAGTGCCTGAATAAAAGGGCCAGCAAACCCATACCAAGAGAGTGTAGCAAACATAAATGGCTAGATGAGTCTATGAAAAGCTTTTTGAGCATCCAAACTCAAAAGAGGAGCTGAGTGATTGGTCTTTATTGGTCATTTAACAAATCAATAAGGTCTATAGTATGTCTAGTGTTATCGTCAGCATGTCTGGTAGGGACAAACCCAACTTGGACCTTGTGTATGAGCTTAGGGAGTATTTGGGTAAGTCTGTTGGCAGGGATTTTAGTAAATATTTTGTAGTCAGAGTTAAGCAAGACTATAGGTTGGTAATTATCAGGAAGTGATGGGTATTTTTCTGGTTTCGGTATTATTGTGATTAAGGCATGCAGAAATTGAGGTTGGGGGTTGCACCCCTCATCAGGGAGGCAAATAAGTCTAGCAGATATGGGGCTAAAGTAGGGAGAAAATAGTAGGAAGTAGTATAATAGGAATATGGAAGTCTGTCTGGTCCAGGGGACTTGTGGGATGGCAAATTCTTGACTACTTCAGCTAACTTTTGGGAGTGATATCAACATTCAGTGAGGAGAAATGGGACAGGAGCAGTTTAGGTACGTGTAGAGAGGTAAAGAAGGTGTCAAACTGATCCTATGTATAACAGTTACATAGTTGTACAGCCTGTGGTGAAACTCACCAAATACCGTATCCTTGACATAGTTTGAGGACAATAGGTGGGAGTCCTGTCAGGTTGCATAAGGTAATCAGGGAAAGAATGGAAATGGTGGGGTTTAAGTGTATTCACTTGTATCCTATAAGGTTTATTTGAATACTCATGGAATTTCTGTTTGGTATCTGCTGTGCTTTAGGAATCCCAGAATGTCAGTGAGTGGCTTCTAATAAATAATCTCAAAAAACATACATATACTTGGATTTCTCTAATTTTAAGACAGAATTGCTTGGGGTACCTAGGTCACTCAAGAGGCACTTTGCACACCTAGGGAGTGCTTTTTAACTACAAATATGATTAGTTTAATGTGCTTTTGGTAAATACAGGTACACTTTAAACTTGTCTGTGGTAACACTAATTAAAAATAACTATCCATTTTACATTCTTGGAAAATAAGCATATAGTAATTGCTTTCTTTCAGTCTGTTAGATGCCAGCTCACAGTTACTAAACTATATGCAGTAACATCAAATTAAAAGGTTCCATAAGGTTTAGACAATGAATTATATTTAATAAGATTGCATTATTTAATTTTGAACACTTTATGAAAGACAAACAGGAAATATTAAAGATAATGAGGCTTCATATTCTTACCAACCACAAATCACGTCAGTTGTAGAAAATGCCTGTACCAGGAATTCATTATGTAATACAGTATGCTGAGCTTCATTAGTCTTCATTAAGTCCATTTTCAAACTTTGGCAAGAGCTGGCCTGCTATACCTTGTTGCTGGAGGTGTGTTCAAGACAACATAGATGCCTGCTTACAGTCATATAGGCAGAGTTGGGAACCCTCTGGCTTTCACTTGGAGACCAGCTAACTTTACCTCTGGTCTGCCAATTGCCTAACTAGAATGACATAAGTTTCATAGCTCATATTCACAGTGGGCAATGGCAAAGTGTTTTGGCTTACACAAATAACTAGGGAGCTTGTAAGTGGCTGTTACCATTTTTATTCTTTTTTTTCCTTGATCGCTGGAAAATCTATATACAGTTAGCAGAAAGGACACTGGCTGTTAGGTGTAGGAGAGGTTCTGCAGAGTGTCTAGAAAGAAAGATCTTTTCTGGATGTGAGATTTCCAATTAGGTTTGCCATGTGAGCCACAAGTGGCATTCCCCATGGATTGAGGACCATGCTAACCCCAAGGATTCCTATTTTTGAAAGACTTTCTTGAGATGAGTGCAGGGGCGGACTGACAACTCATGGGGCCCCCGGGCAATAGGGGATCATGAGGCCCCTGTGTCCTTGCCCAAACTCAAAAAAGCCTATGAAAAAGGTACCAGGGTCATCTCATGGGGCCCCCTACTGACCCCAGGCCCTCGGGCAGTGCCCGAGTTTCCAAATGGTCAGTCCGCTCTTGGATGAGTGATTAGTACACATAAATTTAATCTGCATCAACCCAGCACTAGAAGCAATGTGCAATTAATTAATCTGACCTGCTGATCGTGGCTCGTTTTTGAATAATGAGCAGCTTCATTAAAGTTATAGTGGCACTACAAAAATACCTGTGCTGGTGGGAGGTGAAGTGTGTGTTTGAAGAAATGTAAGAGAACCAAGAAACAGCATCAGAGGAGGAGAAATCGCTCTCAAAGGCAAAAGAGCTTCAGAATTTTAATGAGAGCATTGGAAAATTTCAGATGAAGTTTCCATAGCCTGAAGCTTAGTCTCATCCCATTGAACACTGCAGAGAAAATTAGGACTCTGACTAAGTGCACACCCTAAGCTATGGGTGTGGTCTTCAAAGATGTAAGTGAGAACTCCAACATAGAGAGAGCATATGTTAGAAAAAGATGGGTATATGCAGAAACATGTGCATGTTAGGATTTCCTCACACTTCTTGATGGCCTTCTAGGCACCTTGAATAGTCTTCCACTGTTAGAGAAGGGGCTCACTTACCCTATCATCCACCTGTTACAAGTTAGGTGGAGGCCAGGTTGCATTATTTTTTGCAATAAACCTGGAGCTATATGAGTGTCTGTATGATGAGGAAGATCTTGCCTACTACTGAGTGCAGAATAATGTAAATGCAGTTCTGTGGTTATATAATAAACTGAAAAAGTGAAAAATTCACCCTTCAATAAAGCACTACAGTATCTGTATAAAATGCCACAATGTGTAAATAAAAAAGCAAATTTAAAAACATTTATATCTATTTCTAAAAAAGTCCACAAACAAATATATGTCAGACCTTCTTTTGTATCAAGTCCAGCCATAGACCACAGCCACTCACCAGATAGTATTGTCTAACTTTAAACAAAGATCGG